TAATAATATTAATTTAATATAATGCAAAATTTAATAAATTATATATTTTTTTATAATATAAATTATCAGAAGATTTCTGATAAGAAAAATTTTCTCAAATATTTACAGAATAAAAAAACTACACATGATGATATCATTAATTTATTTGAAAAATAAGAAATAATTTACAAAATCTCTTTAATATTTCAATTTCACAGATACATTCTTTCATATTGATATTTATATGTATATCATAATCATATATATCATATATATATATATGATTTTGATATGATATATTTTGGTAAAAAAGTGTTAATTCCATCGATTAATTTAAATTAACTTTGTTTTTTTATATTTTTTTATAGATAAAAATACATTTTTTGCAAAAAATCAATTTCAATTTATTAGAATAATTATTAATTTTACAATTTATTACAATTGATAATAATATATTGTAATAATATATTCCATTCAGCTGCGTGAATTACGGATACATCGAAACTTAATGAGTCTTTTGATAATATAAAATATCTCATAATAAAAATAAATTATTACATTAATAAAAAATTATTATATTTTTTAAAACATCGCTATAAAATGCATAATTTAAAACATATTTTTTTTTAAAAATTATTTTTGTATATTAATTCTATTTTACTGGAGCATATATAGTTATTTCATTTTTTTATAAAATTGTTTATTTTTCTGATTTATTAAATTTTTCTTAATATAAATAAATATATTGAAATAATAATAATAAGAAACAAAAATATATATATGATATTTAATAATTGACCATATTTAATTATTTTGTTATTTTATTACTGTTATAAAAAATGGTATCATAAAATTATGAATTAAAAAAACTTTGATATTAGCAAACAACTTTTTACATTTCTTTTTATGAGTTCTATTAATGAATTAAATTTTTATCTATAATATTACAGTATCTTACTATATATTTTTTTTCAGTATTTTGTTTATGGTGGTTATTTCATTGTTATATCAATATTTTATACAATAATAGGTATTATAAACATTATACAACATTGTAAGAAAGGTATAGGTTTTAAAATATGGAAAAACGTTAGCAGAGGTATTGAAGATTAAATAATTTAGTAAAATTATTAAATTCTAATTTATATTGTAATTTTTAAAAATATAACGAATAAAAATTTATTTTAAAAATTTATAACAAAGTCACTTAGATATATAATAATTAAAAATAGTTTATCAAATTGCAATATCAGTTTTAATAATGTAAATTTTAAAAAATTTTAATTAATTTTAATTATATTTTTAGTAAGTTTAAATATCAAAAATATCAAATGAATTTTTTGATTTTAACATCTGGTTGATTTTGACTATTTTTATATATTATCATATATCAATATTGATAAAACTTATACATTATTACTTTAATATCCATTTCTAATTTTTTCTTATGTATATTATATTATAACATGAAATGAAGAAAATTATTAAATTAGATGATAAATTAATAAAAATTAATAAAAAAATACGATGGAAAATATATAAGCACATTATAGATATTTTTAAATTGTGGTATATGATTATATAAATATAAAAATGACAAATATATGTACATCTAAGAAATATAAAAAATATATAAATTTTATTCTTTATTAAAAAATGTTTTTATAAGATATTTTTAATATTCTTTTTCCATTCTTTTCCAATTATCCTTTTACTTCAATTTAGATAATTGAATTTTATTCTTCTTTTGTGGTAATTAACAGTAATTTTACTTTATCCAAAACGGATTCTCTGCATTTCTGAAAAAATAAAATAATTCTTTATAATAAAAATTGTTTTTATCTAATTTATTTAAGTTACTTTTCTTTTTTTATTATTTAGAAAATTGCTTACAGACGAGAACGTTTGAAACAAACATCTTCCTAATTCGCGACGAGGATTTGCATTCTTGTTAAAATGTTTGAATAATTTCCACCATACTAAACAATCTTGTATACTTTGTTTAAATTCCTGATTGAATATATCATCCATTGTATCATTTCGTATTATAGATATAACAGATTTCATTGATTCATTTTCGATGACTTTCGAAAACATACAAGGATAATTGTTACAATCGCTTATATGCGACTGCAATTTATCCAATAACAATGTATCTTTTAAGCAAATTTGTAACATCTGCATAAAAAATTAAAAAATGATAATTACTACATAAAGAATTCTAATTTTTAAAATTTTATGTATCTTTATTTATTTAAATATTTTATATTTTTATTTTTAAATATTATATTATAAATTATTCATATGCAATTATAAATAAATTACATATGCATATTTTTATATTATCTGTATATTTTTATACTATCTCAAATAATAAAAAATTTATGCGATCAATAATAATATTATATACATGTACATGCATATACATATATATATGTATAGATGTATTTACCCAATTTGGTGAAATCAGTACAGGATATATTTCATAAAGGCTCCTATTTGATTTATCAAAATATATTAAATTTGTATTAGCATCTTGTGCCATAGCCGTATTCGATATTTTAGAAATATATAATGATAAGATTAATGGTACTTCTATGTCATATAATTACACAAAATTGTGATAAGTTTTTCAAATAATATTTGAAAGGTTATTTAATATATCGATAATTGTATACTTACTATAATGATATAAAAATATTGTACTCAATAATGTTATTAACATTATAAAAATATTTCTTAAGGTTTGAAAATTTTATCATGGAATTAGTAATTGTAGGCAAATAAATAAATAATAAACTATACATGATATAAAAAAAATATTGATTTTTATTAAAATCTAATCGATTTAAATTTAGTATGTAAATTATGTAGTATGTAATATCGAGTAAATTCATTCAATAAATATAGAAATATTTATAATTATAAATAATTTTCAATTGATAGTATAGATATAACTATTTTATTTATTACAATGCAATATGATTATGCATGATGATTTTCAGGTATTTAAAATTAAATTTATATTATAAATAAATTTAGATAAATTTAATATGAATATTTTTTTTAAATGTTAATTTTAAAATAATATAATAAATAAATAAAATATTATAATAAAAATATTACTTTATGTATATCTTTGTAGTTACAGTTAATTAGTATCATAATATTAATTAATTTTATAAAAGTGATACTAATATTTTATTGAAATATTACATTTTTTATTTTTTTTTATATCTTTTTAAAGATATAAAATAGTTATGTAAAAAGTAATTTAATGAAATGCATATTAAAAAGAGATTGTATTACATTAATTTTTTGATTGCATCGAGAACGATAGATTCGCAAGCTTTTGTAACTTGTTGCGTTAAACATGACCCTATTTCTTGAAGACAAGATAATTCCGTTCGATCTCCTGCTAGAGGATATTCTTCTAAATTATTGATGTGAGGATTTTTCACCATTGTTAAACGTAATCGATTAAGTTTGGATTCTTCTTCCGGATTTAATGATTCTAAAAAATCGATTTTTATGTATAATTAATATAATAGTAATAATTATATAAAAATTTTCTTAATATTTCTGATTAAAAGATTAAAATTATTTTATTTTTTTTTTATATATCTGATATTGGAAATTATTAAGTAAGTATAAGAATAATTTAATATGAATATATTTAAAATTTTTAAAAATATAAAAAGTTTAAAAATTAATTAATTAATAATAAATTATAATATCAAAGTAATGATATTATTATCAATACTATATATATATATATTCAATTATTATTGAATAAATTTTTTTTAATTTACATTAGATTCTATTATAATTATTATAAGATTATTTAATTTATTGTTATATTATTTCTTATTATATTATTTTTTTATTATTTATACTTTTATTTTCAAGTTCTGTAATCTCGTTCGTCAATTTTTGTCGAATAGCTTGCACTTTTTTTGCTCGTCTCTTTTTCTCTATTTCCTCATCGTGTATCTTTTCTATTTTCTTCTTTAAATTTTTCTTTAAATTTTTCTTTAAATTTTTCTGTGTTATTTTCGAATCTTTCGAATATTTATTTTCGAATATTTTCGAATTTTTTTTTGATCTTTTTTCTCTATTTTTTATCTTTGATAAAAAGAAACATTAGAAAATTGTATATTTTTAAAAAAAATTATATTCAAGTTATTAATCGACTTACATCAATATTCAATCGCATTTGAATTAATCTATTGTCTTGAAATTGTTTATACTTTTGCCATAATTTACCACAAATTTCGGCTGCATGAAGCATTTTTAATCTTAATCCGCGATTCGAAAGAGTTTGAAATAAAGAGACAATTTTTCCCATATTATAATCATCTCGTCCTCCACCCTGTAAAAAAGATTATTTATTTAATCTATTTACAATTAATAAAAAGATTATTTATATATCAACTATATAAAAATATTTCTTTCATAAGTTTAAACATTTTTATAAAAAAATAAATAATAAATTAATAATAATATTGACTTTTTTATTCAATAATTTTTTTAATAAGAGAAATAAAAATTTGTTATTGATTGACTTACATTTATTACATTTTGAAAAACTCTAAGATCTATTTTGAATAAATAATAGAATTCAAGTTTTACGAAATAATAAGTATTTAATAAACAAAATACTCATAAAATACATAAAATAATCGAAATAAAGAATTCTTTTTATATTTAGAAAATGAAACAAGTACTTGAATTTTTTTTAATCATATTTTTTAATATATGAATTTGCATAAAAATCTGAAATCTATTTATAAATTACGAATATTGTATTCACGAATATTGATTTTTACCAATTCGATAAATGTGCAATCCCAATCAGTACCATCATATTGGCATTGCATAGTTGCTTTTTCAACATCTTCAGTAATCTCAGTATGTTTCATACAATATGTAAGGACCCAACTTTGAGGTATATTGATCACAGGCAAGATTCTCCAAATTTTATTTGTAATATTTTCTAACATATTCAATGAGCTTCTATTGTTGGTAGATACTTCCATGAGTTCCATATCCGGAGGAAGCGTCGTCTCAGTAGGATCTTCATTATTCTGAAATAAAGAATTAATTTATATTACATTTTAACAAATTATTAATTAATTTTTAATCATTAAAAATTATAATATAGTTATTATAATAATAAATTTTAATAATAAAGTTAACTTGTAATTTTTTCAAATGATTATAGCTTTTGACAGATTTGAAAAATATAAATATCACACATGTGATGAAAATTGTATATTTTAGCATGGAAGGATAAAATTCTTGAAAAGTATTTGTACATGATGTACAAACATTGTAATAAATAATAATTTATTTAGTTAAATTTTAGTAGAACTATTTAAAATGTTACGAATTAATAAATATCTAGGTTACAAATTATTAGTTTTTATTTAAACTATGTAACGAAGTTATATATTCTTAATTATTATCGATTATTTGTATATAATATTGAATCAGCAATTTCGTAATAAATATCATCGTAATTGCTAGGGAAGTAAAGAGAAATTTTCATTGGTAGAAAATTATAATTACTATTATTACAATTTTATTAAAAAATTATATTAAAATAATCTCTATTCTTTATTAAATAAATATTTTATTATTAATTAAATTCGAAATTTTTGTTTACAATATTCTATTACATTATACAAATTTGGAAATTTTTTTTTGAAATGAATTTAATTAAATCAAAATTGTGCTATTTAAAAAATTTAATGGAAATAAAATGGAAATAAAATGTTTACATAACAAGATTCGAATAATTTTTATTGAAATATAAAATCAAGAATTCGTGAAAAATTTATTTCATAATCAATCGTTGATTCCATTATTTCTTAAGTTTTATGAATTTGATCTTTCTTATGATATGTATTTTAACTAATCCTTAATTTTGTATTCTTGCATGTAAGCATTTTAAAATATTTATTCTTTATATAGGTTTTTTTTTTATGTGAGAAATGAGAAATAGAAATGCAATTAATTTTAATAAAAGATTAATTGGATTAATTGCATTTTTCATAAAATTAAATAACAAATTAAATTTTTGCTTTAAAAATTACTTATAGATCAATAACTTTAATTCTTGGATCTTCATGAGTCAAAATTTAAAAATTTAAAAATCGTTGCTTTTAAATGAAGAAAAATAAGAATTTTTTTGATAACTGATGATACAATAAATAATAAATGTTATATATGATATTGGCTGTTTACAAAAAACATTATTTTCTATGAATATCATTGAATATCAATGGAATTTCCAATGCAAATTGATTTTTAATATATTTTTAATATTTCTTTAAAATACATAATTTATAATATAATATACTTTGGTATAGATTACAATATTTGTGTATAAAACATTTAAACGTTTTTATTTTAATTATTATGAATAGTAATTAATAATATTATTATTTTATATATATATGATGTATGTATATATTATATATAAGTATGAATATTTATGCATAAGCATGATAAATCGTTAGATAATTATTAGAAAACAATTATTGTTAGGTAAATATTAATATCTCGTTTAATAATTTAGATAAAGTTATTAAAGTTACATATATTAAATAAATATTTCAGATTATATATATATACAGATTACATATATCAAATAAAGTTATATATAATATTATATATATTATGATACAAATATATCAATTAAACTTATTAAAATAAAATATTTTTTCATTGCATTTTTAAATCATTATGTCAATTAATTTTAATTAATTTAGACACTTATTTTTCCATCATTTGTTATCATTCTTTTTTGTTTCTATAAATAATTTCGTAAATTATATTTACATCCTCGATAAACGTGATTTTTTTATTTCAAATCAAAACATTATTTAGAGATTTAATCTTTTAAATATAATTTATTTTAATATAAAATTATATTTTATTTGCACAGAATGAATAATGTACAGTATTTTAAATTTATAGGATTATATTGTAATTAGATTGAGTAACAAGTTTTTTCTAAACAAACAAAGATGTTCTAAACAAAGATTAAATGTTATTTATTTAAATAAAGATATATTTAATATTATTATATATATTTAAGTAAAATAACATTTTATTATGTTTTCAATAATTTTTTTTTAAATTTATATAACAAATTATTTTGAAGATTTTTCAATTTTATAAATATTTTATAAATATTAAAAGTATATAAAATAAAATTTAATAAATATTTGATAATCATTTTATAAAAAAATATAATTTCTGTTTTTTTTAAAAATATGATATGATATAATTATTTATATAAAATGCATGCAAAAACGTATGATATAATGTCTCATGTGACAAAAAATTTTCTGCAAATTTTTAAATTTTCATGTACAGAATAAAAAAATTTAAATATGTTATTTAAGATAAAATTTTCTTATCGTAGATAATGCTTAAATGTTAAATAATAAATTAATTATTTTCATTTATTCATTTGATATTATTATTTAATATTTCAACGATGAATTAATTTATATAAATAAATATTTATTTAAAATATGTAGTCTAAATCTAAAAATTTAATGAAAGATGATAATATCATATTTGAAACATTAATCATGAAATATCAAGTTGGTGTTATCATATCTAGGTTTTTTATAACATGACATTTATAACATTAGCTTTGTATTATAGCAAGTGACATTGATAAATGTATTGATTCTACGTGACACATGAGAATGGATATTAGAGTGATATGAACGATAGCATGTATCATATTAATGCTTGATAAGCATGATATAATCGATAAATTTTTAATTCTTTTTTTTATAGAAAATATAAAATAAAATATATTTAGAAACATATCATATATTTTTAATAGTTTAAATATTAAATTTATATAGTATGTTTCAATATAATATTCATTTTTTTAGAATAAATATCTCAAAAAAGATATACAAAAGATATAGAAATGTTTCAGAAAGATGTACGATGTCAAAGAGATCGTATCATTTATTTTATTTTCCGATTCACGTCATCTTATTCATTTTACGTTAAAGTTCTAGAATAGTTAATTACGCATCATATCAATTAATGCATGATTAATTATATAATTATATATAAAATGATATAATATATGACGTTGTTTTTATAATTTTTTCCGCCTAGATCCAAAACAAGCGATATTACTATACAATAGTAGATTTGCCTAGGCGTTTCTAGTAAAATTATTATAATTACTTATAATATGTTTCAATTTACATTTTAAATGTTAATTTTAATACGCATACTGTGCAAAATCAATTTCTTCAAAGATATATTAACTTTGAAAGTTAATATTTCGGAAATAGTTTATAAAAAGAATACGTTTATGTAATATTTTTAAAAAAATTTGACACAAAATATAATAATATATAATAAAAAATATAAAATTTGAAATTCTTTAAAATTATAACAAAATAAAATAAGTAACAATGCCTGTTCTCCTTGATAAGATATTCTTTTGTTTAAAATATTTTTCTGTATTTTTCGTATTTTTGAAGATATTTGTCTTGAGAGTTTAAAATAGAATACTTTGTATATAATATATATATTAAATAAAATTTATTCTTCAAATTATAAGCAATTTAATTTTACACTAAGAACGCCTATATGTAGATAACAGGGCTAACATCAGCAATTGCATCTTATATCGATATAGCACAATTTATGATGGCGCTACATTACAGGCAGAAGAGATATAGCGCCATCATACAAAGCTGCAATTAAATTAATAATAATTTTACGTGGTAATTCTATTTAACTGTAGTTATCTTAATAACAAAAAAAACTTTGTTATTAATGTTTTTGAAAAAAATAAGAATTATATAATATAAAATATATTTTCTATTATATAACATTATATTATTATTAATACAATAATGAACTTAATAATGAACTTTATTTTTCAATGCATTATAATTAATTAAGTATAAAACGTTGTAAGTTGGAATTTCCAGATTCTTCATTAATATCTATTCATAATTAAGTTTCTCTCAAAGTGAATCATAAACGTCAAAAAAATTTTTTCTGCAATAGCAGATAAAATATCATAATTAAAATATCTTATTATTTCTATAAAAGATTGCAATTTCAAGATTCATTGTCTCTCATATAATAATAATAATAAAATATAGTTTATACTAAGTTTAAATTATATTATATTATATTATATTAAATTATATTATAGTTTACATTAAGAGAAAAAGATACAATAAAAATTTAAAAAAAATTTAAACAATAAAAATTCTACTTCAAATATAGAAATCTTTTAAAGAGATAATTATAAAAATTATGAAAAATTATATCATGAGTTAGAATCGTTTAATTAAATCTGACTAGTCTCAAGATGGATCTCTTAATTGCTCTTATTGTGCCATCATTTGATCTTTTAATAATTTTGACCCAGTAATTATTCTTGATAATTCGCGAAGAAAATAACTCCTTTCAATTCGCTTTCTCTGGCTATTGGCCAACGAAGTGTGAAACGAAACTAATTTCATTTCTTGACGTCAAATAAATTTCAAAAGGAAAAAGAAAATTTGAGAGAGAAAATTCATTAATTCTTCGAAGATATAATTTTTGTCTATGATTTATTTCTGGATATGTATTATACCTCGAACGATTCAATTCGACAAGCATTTTCTTCTTGATGCTCTTGAAAGTCAAAAATTAAATTTCAAAGCTTTCTTGCATAATTTATCAACAAGTAATTAATATTATTAATTGGTAAATTATTATGCAAATCTGAAAAATTTTTACTAATAATATTACTTCAATTGCAAAATATATTAAGCTCTAAACATAATAATATAATCTTTGATAAAACTCATATTATCCCAGATGTATAATAGCATAGAAAAAAAATAAAAATAAAAATACAAGATAGTCGAAATATATTTATTATAAAGTATTTTCTCAAAAGCTAAAGAATAATTCGATTTTTTTTTAATTAAAATAATTAAGAGTAATTTTGTATTTAATTTTCAGAATGGTTTTATAGTGCAGAGATCTTATCATAGAAAAATTGTGATATTGTTTGAGTTTAGTTTGACATATATATCTATTTGATTCAACTTTTTCTTGATACAATTACTAATAATTTTCAAATAATGACAAATAATATGTGCATATTAACAAGTTAAAAAGATATCATTAGATATTGTGAATAAATGAAGACTTTTAGAGTTGATTAAAAAATTACGTAAATATAGTTAAACAATATTATTTTTATTACAATATAAATTTTATTACAATACTAAAAATAAAAATTATATTGATGACATTTTATGAAAAATTTAACAAAATTCTTTGAAGAGTTTTTTTCTTCAATTTTAAATTTAAAAAATAAATCAATGACATATATGGTATGTACTTATCTATTTGTAAACGAAATTCTGCAAAAGAAATTCCCGATGACGCATATGTTCACATCATCATATACAAACCATTGAAAAAGTAAGTGAATTTTGATTTTTTTGTATCATTCTTACAATATGTGCATTCTATTGTATAATAAAGTATCATATATTTTTATTGAATAGAATCGCATTGAAATCTCGATTAAAATGAAAAAAAAAAAATATTTAATGGAAAAAAGATTATTTTATAAAATAAGACTATTTCCAATAAAATAAGAATAAGATTTATAAAGATCTTATGCAATTTATACATGTAATCTATTTGATCAATCATTCAAATATATAAAGCATTAATATATAATATAATATTGTAAGATAATTTTGAAAGATTTTTAAAAAATAAAATAAACATTGGTATAAAAATGTCCATATTTAAAATTAAATTGAATCAGAGAAGTAATTTCTTATAATGAAAAATCCTTGCTTATTTTATTCATGGTCAAATTGTAATTTTCTTAGTGTAAGTGTAATTCTCTCAAACAATAGTAAACTTTATTATTGTCATAATGTGATGTTTGTCATTCTTCAAAAATAATTATTCCAATTCATTCGCGATTCGCTTCAAGGATTCCATTCATGATTTTAATAAATTCATCTTATTTCACTTTACGCTTTTTTTACATTAACTATTTCATTTATATTTATCTTCGAATATAATAATATAGTTTATATATTTCGTAATAAAATAAATAAAAGAAAAAAAAATACTAAAAAAAATTTATTACTTTATAATACAATTTTCTTTTAGAATTATTTCAAATACTAAACATTTTAAAAATCGATATTTAATCACTCGTTTATCTCTATATCTCACTATGCATTGTCTAAGTGTTAACTTTAAACATACGTAATTTGAATGAGATTATATAGATCACAAATATATACTTCTGCTTAAAAGTTTAAAAATCACTTACTTTTCTTATAAGAGAAAACAAGCGTTAAAAATAATATAGTTTGTTATATCTTGTCTTGAATAAATTTATTAAATCATTTCGAAATTAAATGAATTTTAATCTATATCACAATATATAACTGAATATTGTATTTGTTTACACCGAATACATTAAGAATTTTACGTTTAGTAGCACTTGGTGTATCAATGATTTCCAATGTGACACGTGTTTCTTCTCTCCCCTCCTGGGTGTAGTTGGGATTTCCTGACAATAAAACTATTATAACTGGGCATTTCCAACATAAAAGTAACGAGTCGTGTTGGCTTGGTTGGGACGACAGCGTATCGGTGGAAAGGATTCGTTTCCGATGAATAAATATGACAGTGAATGGTGGGGATGCAGTTAAGAAGCCAGTTACCCGCGAGCATCTCGTCGCCACTTCTTCCTATACACTCAGTTCAATTTTGTAGCGAGGAACTATCGGATGTTATTTCGTGTCCGATCAACTTCAGAAACAGAAAAGGAGCATGCAAATCCGAGAAATATTTTTTAAATCGGTGAGTGGTGATTCTTTGATTAATTAGAATGATTAGAATTAGTAAAAATTGATTGCAATTTTATTCATTAATTAAGATTTCATTTGTATACGTTTTGGAGAGGAGATAGAGTTTGTAAACAATTTCGAAGATATGTCGTATGATATTTAAAATTGCAATTGATATCTGGAGATTTAATTAATCTTGAAAATTAAAATTATTTTAATTTGGTAGGATGTTCTTTTTAGTAGATGTTTCTAGCTTATTTTAACTATGTTTTAATACGTTGTGTTTAGACTTTAAATTTAAAATAGTAATCGGATAATATTTATTATAATTAGATTAATTATATGGATTGATTATAATTATTGATTGTATAATTGTTGTTGTTTCATTGTTAAATATTATTTCCTTAGAGTATATATATATATGATCATATTATATAATACATGTTATTATGATTTCAATTTCGTAAATAAAAAATTCAATATTTCTTCAATTCCAAGTATTATAGATTCTTCATCAATAAAGATTCCATAGATGATTATTGCTTTCTCAGTAATGAAAAGTTCAATCAGCGATAACTTATCTTTTTTTATATATATTTTTCGCATTTTTTCACTTCGTTGTTTTTCACAATATTCAAACGATTATTATTGAAATTATTCTTCTTCGGTCAAATAATTCTTTCATATATACACATATTTCTCTATAAATTTTCTCACGTTCCTAAATGTTTTTTATAAAAATGCTTTGTTTGATAAGCGTTCCTTAGACCATGAAGGACATGTTTTTATCTAAACTTTTCAACGATTTTTATTATGCTGGAATAAAAAACTTTAATAGAAATTCTTTTATTATTTTGAATTGCAATGTTTACAAAGAATATCATACATTATTTTTATCATTTATCATAAAAGGTATTTCGATTTTAATTAGACTTTTTGTGTAATCAATATCAATCAACAGTTGATTACAGTTGTATACGTGTTTTATTTATTAAGTTGGACACGTATCCGATCGAAGAATTCACTTGTCATTCGCTCATTGTTTCTGTTGGCATTGCGGGATTCTCCATCGATCTTCGTGAATTTTAATATTGTTAAAATTACGAAAAATAGAAAGAAAAAGTTAATTTAAGTTAAAAAGATTTAAGTTTAAAAGAAGAGATTTCTCGATAAAAAACACGTTCTGATAAATCGACAAATGTTTCGTCCAGAGAAAATGAAGTGAGCAAAAAGGAGTGAAATTAAAGATTGTCAGAGGAAGTGAAAAATTATAAAATTATATAAATTCTTATATATTAGTATTTGCATAATACACTGAAAAATAATTGTAGTGAATTTCTTATGTTTGAGGCAATAGCATCAGGAACAATAGAGAGGCGTGGTATAGTTTCTCTTGTTTTCGTCACATGAGAACTCGTCATACGTTAATTTCAGCCAAGAAAGTCGGACTCTATGACGTCATGGTTTGCTTGCTTTCACTCGTCTCGTTGTTTGCCTCTCGTTCGTTTCAAATCGTATAATTTTCATTAATTTTACGATTACGCTTTGTGAATCTATATGTAGTCTTCGATATTTGTTCTATGATCTCGTTTTGAAATTGATTGTGTTAATTAAAATACGAAAATACATCTTCTATTTTGAGTTTCTACGTTTTCTAAAAAACTGTTGAATTTTTTTTAGGAGAAGATCATGACGGTGAAAGTATTTTTATAGCCATGTTTAATAATTTTAATATTAAACGTAGTTAAGTTGATTATTTTACTTATATATAGTTTAGATTAGCTAGTTATTTTAAACTTTTATGTATAATTGATATTTTTATTTTTTTTATCTGGAATTATGCATAACATCAAATCATGAATATTATGCGTCAATCTATGATAAGTTAAAGAAAATATTTTTTTTTGATTGATTGTTTATAGACGTAACAACTGCAATAATTGATTATTAATGTTTCAGCGAAAAACAGTGTATTTGAATGTGTAATCAAATATAAAATATTTATACAATAATTAATTTATTTTATAAATAATAAAAAATTTATTTTATTATTTATTTATGAACATAGAAAAATTAAATGAATTTATACAATTTTATTATTTATAAATATATGATATTTGATAATTTTTTATTATAATTATTTTCTGTGAATAGTGTTAATGGAATACAATAATGTTGTATTTTTTATTAGATATCCTTTTACTAGATATATTTCAAAAATTATTAATAAAAAATAATAATTTAAGAAATATTACTTCATTTTAAGTAATTTTTAATATCAAATATTTCATTATAACAAATTATAAATATTATAAATATAAGTTTCATAATAGAAATAATAATAAATTTTAATATTTTTATGAATAATAAATAAAAATTTTATTATTTTATTATTATCTATAATTAAAAGAAATTAAATTAGGTCCTGAATATATTTGATCTACTTTAATTGTTCTGAATAACTAGAGCGTGATTCCTACACAAAACTTTTTTTTTGGCATAAAAATGTAGATATAGATGTCGTGCATAATGATTTATTTATCAATATCACATTGACCTCGAGTATAATGTGATCTCTATGACATAAATTACATTTAAAAGTGATAAATATTGTGTTATCCCCAAAAAAAAAGAAATTTACGAAATTTCTAATTATAAGATTATAATTTCTCTTTGATGTCATAAAAAATTGAATATTTTTTGAATATTTTTAACATAATTTGGATAAGTTAAAAATATTCGAACGATATGTAAATTTTAATTTTGTTAAATATTAAATATTTTAAATAATTATTTTTATTCAAGTTAGAATTTTCAAGTTCAACTATAATTTCATTATTTTTTTCTGTCACTCAGGATAGATAAATATGTTAATTAGAACTTATTTTTTAACATTTGTACACTTTGTTTTTAAAACTTTTTTATAATATGTTAATATACGACAAAGTTATAATTATATCATAATTATAAATTGTGATAATTGTGAGATAATAATAGAATAATATCTAGAGAAATTTCACAATACCGGAAATTATACGAACATCGTCAGATATTTTTAAAACGTTAACTCAGCTTTGCGTAATCTATGCAAAATTATTTCTATTCTTCAAATACGCATATTTTATTTTATCCGGAGAAGGAAATTCTTTTATTCCTAAAATTTAAACATTTCGCTTCTTGATAATACTTTGTTTGAAATATTTGAAAAATTTTTTTCCTACTCTATTGTAAAATAATACAAATCTTTAGAGAATCTTTCCTACGCTCTAAAAATCTTATATCTTCTCATTCAATAATTTAATTTTCCCGTACTTGTGATTTTTTTTTCAATATTTATTCATTTTTCTTTCAGATAATATCGGTGTTATCGGTACTATTGGTGTTAAGAGGTATATCAGCGCAATGTCTAACCGGAAACGATAGTCCTTCGATGATGGGCGCTGGCTCGAAGAAAGCTATAATCGACTCGAAATTTCGTTTCGCTCTTGAGACTCTTAAAAAGATATCTTTATTCGAATCTCAAGACAATATAATTTATAGTCCTTACAGTATTCATCAGGCTGTGACCTTGGCATATTTCGGTTCCCGAGGTACCACCGAGGAAGCCTTGAAGAGAGCTTTGCAGTTGCCTGCTGACATATCCAAAGTCGATGTACAACGATATTATTCCTTCGAGAATACCCTCAAACAACAAATCAACGGTCAGGTGAGAAGGCTTGAAGTGGAGCGATTACATCATTATTGTTTAAGTTTGCAAGTATTCCAAGGCGAGCCACATAATCAACATCTGGTTCCTTTTGTTCAATTGAATTAATAATATTTAATAATATTGGATATACAAGATGTTAATATATATATATATATATATATATATATAATATATTCATAGAATATTGATTTTAGAAATCGAAACAAAAATTATGATGTGTAAAAATTTTTTTGACTGAGGCTCATTTATTAACATTGTGACAACCGGCTAGTTTTGAATATAATTTTTAGAATTGATAAAATATGTTTTCTTTCGAGGAAATTTTAAAAGAGATGTTTTGCAACTTGCAATTTACAAAATGATATTATTAACTGGTAATTGATTGTTTAACTTTTACTTTTTATAAGCAAAAATATTACAAAAAATTTAAATAGCTTAATTTCTTCTAATTTATGTAGGAGGAAATATTTTAACCTTGAAGTTTCGTAAAATTCTTTAAGGAATCAGTACATGCGATGAATGAGTAATTTGTTTTTTTGCTGGACACAGTTGGAATTATGTGATAGTTTAATTTGTTTGATTAGTTATATAATTCTCGTTTTTATTTGTAGTTATATATATTTTATATATTTTCTTTCAAATTTTTTGAAGTTTTTATATTTTTTAAAAGCTATATAATTTCACAGGAATTTTTTAAGGTAATTGTAATTATAAATAATAATTTTAATACAATAATATGGCTTGTGAGGTAAAATTGGAATGCAAACGTTCATTAATTTGCAAAATGTAATTATAAAAATGACTTTTTATAATTATATTTAAGTTAAAAAATTTGTGTCGAATTTTATAATGTAATCATAAAATTGAATTTAGCACTATAATAATGAACGGATCATTAAACTAATTTCGTCTTTTTTTTCCAGAATGATGTATCATCCAATTACGAGTTTAACTCAGCGAATCGATTATGGATATCAGATAAGAAAAAAGTACGGGAATGTATATTAAGTTTATTTGGCAATCAATTGGAAAAAATCGATTTCAAAACCAATCCAAATGCTGTTCGTGATCAAATTAACAATTGGGTCAGCAATATGACCAAAGGTCACATTCGGGATCTTCTTTCCCCTAATAGTATTACAACAGATACTGATTTGGTATTGGCTAACGCTGTATACTTCAAAGGTCTTTGGAAAAGTCGTTTCAATCCTACCAATTCTAAGAAAGACATCTTTTATTCTTCTAAATCCCAACATTCTATGGTTAAATACATGAGGCAGCAGGGAAATTTCAACCATGGTAAGTTAAACATTTATCAACAATTTAATAATAATAAAAGAAACCAAATAATTTAATATTTAAAAATACTTTCTTACTCAGTATAATATATACAACTTATCCACGTATTAATCATTTAATCATTAAACAGTAATAAAAATTAAAATGATTTTTCTTTCTAGTTATCTCCGAAATACTTGGCGCACACGTATTGGAACTACCCTACAAAGGAAACGAAATCTCCATGTTTATCCTCCTTCCGCCATTCGTTACAAAAATTTCCAACGATTCCATGCAAAACGGGGAACGAGACAGTATTTACCATCTGATCGAACGTCTTTCCACGGAAGCAGGATATACAGAGATTCGCGATCTTTTAACCTCTGATTCACTCCCTCAACCGGTAGAGATCATCCTGCCGCGATTCGAAGTCGAAAAGGAACTTCAAATTACGACGTTGCTCGATGCCATCGGTGCTGGCGAATTGGTAATACCTGATGTGGCCAATCTTAAAGGTTTTGTCGAAGATGGTGAAGAATCGGTGCATCTTGGCGCTGCTGTCCATCGTGCTCGAATTGAAGTCACCGAGGAAGGGACCACTGCAGCCGCAGCCACTGCCATTTACACGTTCCGTTCTGGGCGGCCATTGGTACCGACAGTTTTCAACGCCAATCATCCGTTCGTCTATTTTATCTATGAGAAACCGAAGCGTACTATCTTGTTCGCCGGCATTTACCGTAATCCCAATACTCCAAAGAATACTGAGGAGACAGCTTGAGGTATGAGCGAGTCAATGTGATCATTGTTTCTCGTTTTATCTTTGAAAAAAAAGTGTGTAGAGAATGAGTTTTGATGAAATGTGTGATAAACTTTAATGTTTAAATTTTTTTTTGTTTCATGACAAATATGATGGATCGATATTTGCAAAGGATTAGTAGAAATTTTGTACAAATATTGTACAAAGATTTATGATCGAATGTATGTAATATTTTCATAAGATTTCGTTTAATGGAATTAAATTATTGAAGAGGGCAATGAATTGAGTAATTGAAGTTAAAATTTGTTATATTGTATGTGTAACGTAGAGTATTCGAATTTTTTAAGGGATGTTTGTCGTTACGAACGAACAAAATATTGATTATGCCGAAAATATAACGACGTATGTTCTAATATTATAATTTATCTCTTACAATATTGTGCAAGTTTGATATTCATATATAGTTCAATGCTGGACTATTAATAAAATTTGAAATTCTATTTTGTAATATGAATTTCAATATTATATTTTTAATATAAATTATGTAATAAAAATGGTATATAATCAATATTTATTAATTGATTTGAGAAAAAGAATATTATTTCGTGATACAAAATATAATATATATAATAAATATTTTTTTTATTTTTTTTTTATATTTTAGATTCTTTTAAAAAGTATTAATTTTATATTTTTATAAAATGAATATCAGAATTTGATATTTTTATCATAAATATAAAAATTTATTTATGCTTATATTTATGCTACGAAAACTAAAATTGGAGAATATTTTATTCATAAATATTTTATTTTTATGAATGAAAAATCAAGACATATTATAGTTGTGAAAAAGAAATGATGAAAGTATGTGCAATTTGATATTTCGTATTTCATTTATGGATACGCGCCAAGAGTAAGAATAGACAAGGAGAGTAAGTAAATGTGGGAGAAGGATAGAGATATTTTAAAAATTGTGAAATCAGCGCCATCTCTAGAGTGCCGTAAATGAAACATAATTTAGACAAGGAAAGTAAATACTTAAAAAAGGATAGATAGAATAAGAATTAACTTTTAGCGCCATCTCGTGATTATTAAAGATACTCTGTAATGACAAGATACAAAAGAACAAGAATTAAAATCTAGTGCTACCTGTTAATGATTTCAAGAAAATATTTCTAAAATTTAACAAGAGATGGCACTACGAGTACCATTTTAATCTATTTAATCTTTATCTCTTTCTTTTATTTGCTTTCCTTGTCTACATATGTTTTATTCGCGATTCCAGAGATGGCGCTGCCTGTCTAACTTTTATTCTATTTCTATACTTCTTTAATTATCTGCTTTCTCTTTCTATATTTGCTCTTGGCGCGTCAATTGAACATATTTTCATCATTTTTCTGCGTGTATTGTTAATCTTTAATGTAAGTATGGATATTATATTCTCAATTTTATAATATATATCCGATATGAATTTTTTGGACTTGAGACACTATTTTATGATAACGATACGATTTACAAACAATATTTTTATAATTTTTTAATTATTGAAATTTAATTTTAATTCCAATCATTACTAACGTTGCAATCTTATTCTGAACAGAATCGGTAACGCTGAGAATGACATTAGAATGATAAAATAATACATGGAACAAGAA